GTGTGTGTGTGTGTGTGTGTGTGTGTGTGTGTGTGTGTGTGTCAGTAATCATGAACATGTGGCTACACATTTATACCACATTTTAGTGATTTAAACATGGATATATATACAAAGTAAATTAGAAACAGCAGTGGCCCCAGGACTCGACCCTGAGGCTCCTCACTCTGAACTGAGTCGATACTGACCTCAATAAAACACCAAATACTGTTGAAATGTGTCGACTGTTTTCTGTATTTTCCAAAAAACAACTCAAATCTTCCTCCTTCTCCACAGGAAGTCATGAAGAAGAGTCAGCCACCGGCGACTACGAGAGAGAGACGGCGACGCCAGTCTACGACTACAACGCCACCTTCGACTACTACTACGGTGAGAGAAGAGCAGTATGCACAGTACTCACAGCAGTATACACAGTACTCACAGCAGTATACACAGTACTCACAGCAGTATACCCACAGCAGTATACAAAGTACTCACAGCAGTATACACAGTACTCACAGTATACACAGTACTCACAGCAGTATACACAGTACTCACAGCAGTATACACAGTACCCACAGCAGTATACAAAGTACTAACAGCAGTATACACAGTACTCACAGTATACCCAGTACCCACAGCAGTATACACCAGTGACGTGCGGTGAGTTTCATGGCTGGAGAGGCACTGACTCTTTCAGAGAGTCAGATTTACAAATATTATATTTTTACCTTAATCGAAATATTCAGTTATTTTCAAAAGCTTTTTTATTTAGTGGGAATGCTGATACAGCATTCCCACTATATGTTATGCTACAGACAAAATTCTTATTATTATTCCGCCGACTTATTTTGGCCCTCTTCTCCTCCCACATTCCACATCGCAGAAACTCCGTTCAAACATCAAAATGTTCAGCTCGGTCGGGAATTGCAGGCTATTACTTTTATCATTCATAACTTAAATAATTCCAGAGATACATCCCATAATACATCACATTTTTAACATAGAAGTCAATGGAGATATTCTTCAGACTTCAACAAATCTTCATGCTAACTGTTCATTCATACTTTCACTCAGAAACCTCATTCCAACTTTAAAATGTTACACAACTTTCTGACATTATTCGTGTAACACAACTTTTAAATCTAATTCGAATTCTTGAAATTTGCCTTCATATTTTTTAAAACTGCCATAATTCCCAAACCCTACATTCCTGAGACATCATTTTTCATGACAAACGTAGGAAAACATCTCGTAGGTTGAAAAATGACAAATAATTAAGCAAAAATAATGCCTCTTGAGGGCATGAAGTGACAAAAACGTTCAACATGTCTCCATTAAAGCCCATTGTAATTTCAGGCAGATATTTCCTCACAGCAGCAGCCGCACACCTTTAGTTAAACTGCCAAAAAGGCCACATTATTAACCCGAAAGTACACAAAAATTACACTTCAGATACTCAACTTCCTTGACATGCTTCACGTGAAGACATCTACGAGAAAGTTTTGAGATTTCTTCAAATGCCGTTGCCATGGCAACACAATGCTCGCCATGAAACACGGTTTTCTCATAACTTAAGTGAAAATGCTTCAAACGGCCCAAAACTTCACAGGTTTGGTAACGATGCAGCCATCAACGCATCTAAGCGTAGTATGGGGTGTCATCAAATGCCGTTGCCATGGCGACAGACCACTCGCCATGAAACACGATGTCGCTGTAAGTCCAATGGACACGGTCCACACGTCCCCCAATCTTCACTTGTATATCACCGGTCCATGCCTCAACAGCTCTACGCCAAATCTGAAATCTCACCATATGCCGTTTCCATGGAAACGCAATCCCTCGCCATAAAACCCGATGTCCCTTTAACTCCTATGAAAATGTTCAAAAAGTGCTCAAAATTCACATGTGTGCTAACAGTCCAGCCGTGAAGACATCTACGAGACAGTTTTGAGATTTCTTCAAATGCCGTTGCCATGGCAACACAATGCTCGCCATGAAACACGGTTTTCTCATAACTTCAGTGAAAATGCTTCAAACGGCCCAAAACTTCACAGGTTTGGTAACGATGCAGCCATCAACGCATCTAACCGTATTATGGGGTGTCATCAAATGCCGTTGCCATGGCGACAGACCACTCGCCATGAAGCACTATGTCGCTGTAAGTCCAATGGACACGGTCCGATCGCCCCCAAACTTCGCTTGTATATCACCGGTCCAGCCCTCAACAGCTCTACGCCAAATTCGAAATCTCACCATCTGCCGTTTCCATGGAAACGCATCCCTCGCCATAAAACACGATGTCCCTTTAACTCCTATGAAAATGTTCAAAAAGTGCTCAAAATTCACATGTGTGCTAACAGTCCAGCCGTGAAGACATCTATGAGAAAGTTTTGAGATTTCTTCAAATGCCATTGCCATGGCAACACAATGCTCGCCATGAAACACGGTTTTCTCATAACTTCAGTGAAAATGCTTCAAACGGCCCAAAACTTCACAGGTTTGGTAACGATGCAGCCATCAACGCATCTAACCGTATTATGGGGTGTCATCAAATGCCGTTGCCATGGCGACAGACCACTCGCCATGAAGCACTATGTCGCTGTAAGTCCAATGGACACGGTCCGATCGCCCCCCAAACTTCGCTTGTATATCACCGGTCCAGCCCTCAACAGCTCTACGCCAAATTTGAAATCTCACCATATGCCGTTTCCATGGAAACGCATCCCTCGCCATAAAACACGATGTCCCTTTAACTCCTATGAAAATGTTCAAAAAGTGCTCAAAATTCACATGTGTGCCAACAGTCCAGCCGTGAAGACATCTATGAGAAAGTTTTGAGATTTCTTCAAATGCCGTTGCCATGGCAACACAATTTCAAACCTTTATTTATCCAGGTTGTATCCCATTGAGATCATTGACCTCTTTTTCAAGGGAGACCTGCTCAAGTAGGTTCCACATGAAACATTAAAAACATAAACAGAACAACAAAAGGACATCATACATTAGCATTACAGGGATTACAATTTACATAACTATCCACATGCACAGGTACCAACAGCTTCCGATTGAGTAGCATCCAACCGAGCTTTAAAAACATTGAGTGGCACCAGATTGCTCAGTTTCCATTTTAATTGCAGACTATTCCAGGACAGTGGAGCTGCGCATCTAAATGCTATCTTCCCTAAGACAGTCCTAGCAGTTGGCACATTTAATAAAACCACAGCATGCGATCTCAGGCAGTAGCCACTTACAATTCGCCGTGAGATCAGGGAGCAGATGTAGGATGGAAGTTTCCCTAACATGGCTTTATATATAAAAATGTACCAGTGACTGAGCCTCCGTGCAGTTAGTGAAGGCAGACCAGCCCTTGCATACAGGGTACAGTGATGGGTTAATGCTTTACAGTTTGTCACAAATCTCAGTGCACTGTGATACGCAGCATCTAACTTGACCAGGCAATTGGCAGGTGCATTCATATAAATCAAATCACCATAGTCCAGCACAGGTAAAAAGGTCACAGTGACTAGCCTTTTTCTGGCCTCGAGCGAGAAACAGTGCTCGCCATGAAACACGGTTTTCTCATAACTTCAGTGAAAATGCTTCAAACGGCCCAAAACTTCACAGGTTTGGTAACGATGCAGCCATCAACGCATCTAAGCGTATTATGGGGTGTCATCAAATGCCGTTGCCATGGCGACAGACCACACGCCATGAAGCACGATGTCGCTGTAAGTCCAATGGAAGCGGTCCGATCGTCCCCCAAACTTCGCTTGTATATCACTGGTACAGCCCTCAACAGCTCTACGTCAATTATGGGGTTTCTTCAAATGCCGTTGCCATGGCGACAGATCATTCACCATCAAGTTAGTTCAAAAGTTTGCAGTTCAAATATTCTGCTGCTTTTCCAAGCCTTTTTACTTTCTTTTCTTCACATTCAAGCCCCCAGTGTTCATGTATCATTTCAATCGAAATTCTTCACTTTCTTCTTACACATAACATTTCAGCATAGCAGTTTAGCGTCAGCTTTTCAGCATAAAGCATTCCCACTAGCAATTTCTTCAGGAATTTTATTCTCTAGTTATTGGATTGTTCTCTCTTAGTAAGATCCCATTTTCAATACAATTGTGGTCTTACCTTGACTTGAAGATGAAGTCCATGCTATCCTTCTGGACAACAATCTCTATTACTTTTTTGTAAAAGTCCTCCTTATCTCCCTGTAGTTTCAAAAGTGTAGTTTGTTGTTTGCGTCTGCCGTCTCTGTGTAGAATAACAGTAGCAACAAGAACCTGTGGGCTCACGTGCGCCCCCTTCAGTGCGGCAGAGGTCATGGCTGCCTCCCCATTGCCGTTGTATGATGAGACCAGCGGGCCTAAATATCATATATACGTGAAATAAGTGATTTAGAGACTATGGATGGCGAGGACACATGTAATAAAGGGATCGACAAACATTACATTGGTGACCTACAGTGAGATGGTAACAGGCAGTGTGCGAAATACGGGGGGTCCGGGGGAGCTCGATATTCAAATGTTCACTTTAACGCCCTCACCTGTCTGCAGCTCCTCCCTTTGTTTCATGACCAGTTGAACAGGTTCATGTTTAACCCTTTATGGAACCTTCCCTGGTGGTAGTTGATCTATTATGTCAATAATGAGTTTAGTATCTAAAGTATCTAAATCTCTAAGGTATACCAAACTCAAAATGCACAATAAAGGTTATCTCTAAGAACCTTAGCCAGAACTGACAATTTAGAGATGGGCCTATAATTATTTAATAAAGTGGCCTCCCCTCCTTTTAGTAGAGGAAGGACATAAGCTGACTTCCATATTTTTGGAATTGTGTTCGTGCTGAGGGAGAGGTTAAAAAGAGAAGTAAGAGGTGGTGCAATACAATCTGCAGCTATCTTTAAAAAGAAAGGTTCTACGTTGTCTGGACCAGCCGGTTTCTTAGGATCTAACTTGGATAATACTTCATGAACGGCTTCAATAGTAAAAGGAGAAAAACTGAAAGGGTTTTCCACACCACGTTGTTCAGAGTCACGGACTGTGGTGTTCACAGACCTCCAGAGGCAGCGAGGAGTCGCTCAGAGCGCCATCTGCAGAGACCTGAGACACACTGCATGCACACACACATTTCATGAGGACATTTAAAGGGCCCATGTCATGGCCATTTCCACTGATCATAATTACATTGTTGAGGTATACTAAAATAGATTTATACTGTGCAATTTTCCAAACTCACATTGGTTTCGCATACAGCATCTCTGTCAAGCATGTGTATTCAGCAGTATTCACTTTCTCCACTAAACGACTCGTTGGAGCTCTTGCCCCCCCCTCCCTGTGAGCCTAGTGTGCTCCGATTGGTCAGCTCGGCCACTCGTTCTGATTAGTCAACCACCAGAGAGGCTGCGCCCATGTCTAACAGTGCTTTTCCCGGCTGCTCTCAGCGTAACATCAGTCTTATCATGGCGTCGGCACAGCCGTATATTTTATATACATATATATTTTTAACTGTTGTTATAGAAGAGTGTGACGGCCCCAGGGCCTTTGTCTTACGATGGGGTGGAGCTGAAGAGGCTAATCAGCACGATCACGGACACCTCCGGACACTACGGCCCCAGTCTCTCTCCAAAGCGGCTGCAGGAAGACTAACTCTGCGATCCTCTCAACCACCTATCTGCATTTACCACAATAAATGTGCCGTGGTTTGGAAACTCGTGTATGTCTCCTTGTCTTTGTGGCCTACGAGCCGCTCATAACAAAGAGTAAGTTATTTTTACCCGTTATAAACTACTACTGTTTGATGAGAAATCAAATCATGGTTTGCTATATATGAATTCAGGGAAGAAAGGATAGGCCTACTAAGTATTTCCATTAAACTTTATTTTTAGAAATGTACAAAATGAACATAAATATACATATATACACACGGTATATCATCCATTCCTCCTCCTTGCATCTTGCAAAGTCGGTGCGGTGCCTTTTAGCACGACGCCTCAGTAGTAGTAGAAGTGCCTTTTAGCACGTCATGGATTGTCCGCCAGGATCTGGCTGGACGAAATCAAATGCAAATCACAAAATATTAGAGAAACTTAGTTGTTTTAGATTCGTTAGTAGTAGTTGTGTAATGAACAGCTTGCCTGCTAATATGCTAACCTAGCTTTGTTTACCTTGGTAGCTAACACGATATGAACGTTAGCTTGGAGGAAAGGCAACTATAATGCAGTGTAATAAAACTACTATGAACAAAAGCTAGTGGTTCATATTAGGCTAGCAATAACGTGTTTATAATTGCAATCGTATACGGGTATTCTGCTACCATACAATGTAACTTGCATGAATACATTGTTTTGCGCTAGCATACAGCTAGCCTCGTTAGCTACATGCAGTATATGTACGGTCACAATGTACGGTAAATCACAGTACAGTATACTGTATGAGTATTCCGTGTGTGTGAATGCAGACATTCTCCTGCTATGAGATACATGTATGCAAGGCCATCTGCTGATATTAGAGTTGATATATGGAAACTCTAGCAACTTAGTTAGCACAGTTAGCACTGTGTCAATGGCTTAGCAGTCCAACACAGTTTACACATTTAAACAGTCTTGTTTGATAAATACACAAATAACAATGCAAACTTACAGGTTGTATACCCGGATCTTCCCCTGCTCCAAACGGTCCAAACAAGCTGTGCATATCCGGCCTCAAACTGGGCAATGTTTTGGAAGCTTTCGTCTGTGAAATGCCGGTTCTTCGAACCTCTGGAGGAGGAACACGCCGCTGCTGGTGTGGCCATAGCTCTTCGGGATTGGTCCATTTCGTTCCGGGTACCGCATGAAATCAGGCGGTACCCGGAAGAATCAGATGGGCAGTGACGTATCTCCAACGAGGCGTTTTGGGGAGGTATTTTCTGTGTTAGAGTTTTACTCGCTACAGGGTGTACTTTGAGGGTTTTGACTCTGCACACCGTTTACATGCATAAAAACCTTCATAACACACAAGGGGACGGGTAATAACCGGAAAAGCATGACATGGGAGCTTTAAGGCTAAAAGGATTCTTCTAGATCAGCGGTTTTCAAAGTGTGAGGCACGCCTCCCCTGGGGGGCGCCAGAGAGCTTCAGGGGAGGCGCAGCGTGAGAAAAAAAACAATGAGAAAAAGACGAGTAAAGTGACACTTGCACACTTTTGGCTGTCTGTGGAGACCGAGTTCCCCCACCTCGCCAAAAGGGCTGTAAAAGTGCTCATTCCCTTCACTTCCACCTACCTGTGTGAGTGCGGGTTTTCCGCATTGACTTTGATCAAAAGCAAGTGCCGGTCAAGGCTGCAGCCAGAGGATGATCTGCGTTTATTCCTGTGTGCATCAAAGACGCAGACTCATTGTTCCCACTAAAGTAGGGGTGAGTGTAATAAGGAGGCAAAGTTAACGTTCAGTGTGTTGCCGGGAGCATATAAGGATGTATCCACGATGTTGAAAATGTAAAAAATGTTTAAAAAATATGTGTTGAGAACACGGCGTGCGAAAAATATACGGGTCGTGCTGCAGCTAGATGTGCCTGTCCTCTGTAAGAAGGTGTCGGCGACTGACATGCAAGGAAGAACGGCTGTCCACAGGCTGTTCCAACTTTAACAACTTTATTATCTTCCAGGGTAGTGAATTGAACATGCTATTGTAATTGGGTGTGTGGTATATTTTCGTGCACGGACACGCATGTTCCACAACACACAAACTGAACAACACTCAATTTTCCGATCGCTACCACTGTCCTTGCGATCTTGTTATAACAACAAAGTGCACGTTACTGATGCAATATGGTTGAGACCATTCAGGCTTATTCTAGAGGGGTGCAAGGAATAGTCCAAGTAGTGGGGGAGTTTTATACAATATGTTTAAAACATAAAGATAAAAAGGTTTTAAAAAGTGATTGTTTAATGTTTTAAGGAGGTGACGCTACTCAGCCAATCAAATCGGTGCAGTCAGTGAGCCAGCACGATAGATTCAAACACACACACAGAGACGAGACAAGAGGAGAGAAACAGTCTTCATTTTATCTTACTGGACCTCTTTGAAATGCAATTGAATACCCCTGCATTATAGCAACAACAACAATAATAATAATAATAGCAATAATAATTGGGAGGGGGGGCGCGGCTGTTCTTATGTTCTCTGAGGGGAGGCTCACCTTCCCACACTTTGAAAACCCCTGTTGTAGTTAATCTACTAATTTAATCTCACGCATTTAACTTTTTCTCGTACATTTTCTTGAAAATGTTAAATCTCAGAGAATATTCACGTTGTTTTCTTGTGATGTATAAAAATGATGTAAATTATATGTAAAGATTTCGTTACTTCAAATAATGTTTCACTAAAACCAAAATATGAGAAAATAAGGAATCTGGTTTTGAGGAGTTGTTACCTGACGCTGCGCTGCAGGTCGTGATTCTCTCCGTCCGGGTCGGACACCACGGCGCTGACCAGCTGGCGGTCGGCCCACAGACAGGCGCTGACCTCCGCCGGAGACGGGCTCAGAGACGCCTGCAGGGTGACTTTCACATTTCAGATGTCACACCAACAACCACCTCACATATTTATCTATAAATACAATGAGCATTGTTTTATTTCAGAGCATTTCATTTTACATCTTGAGCCAATCTAATTATATTTGACTTGTATTTAGTTAACTCCTGCATATACTTATATTACAATATATCCTTTCTACTCTGTTTCTTCTTGCACTATTTGTATTGTTCTTTAAAATGAGTTTTATTGTCTTATGTCTCATTACGTACCTGCAGCTCCAGGTGAGAGAGGGGCGAGCGCAGCAGCAGGTAGACCACGATGTGATGTCTCTGAGGAAGACCTCTGGAGAGAAGGGCGGGAAACACCGACTGACACACAGAGAGGCAAACAGGTGTATATCAGTTTGTAGTGTCTCTACTTTAAAGAGTCCTCTCCTGCTGATGTTCAGGTGTATATCAGTATATAGTGTCTCTACTTTAAAGAGTCCTCTCCTGCTGATGTTCAGGTGTACATCAGTATGTAGTGTCTCTACTTTAAAGAGTCCTCTCCTGCTGATGTTCAGGTGTATATCAGTATGTAGTGTCTCTACTTTAAAGAGTCCTCTCCTGCTGATGTTCAGGTGTATATCAGTATGTAGTGTCTCTACTTTAAAGAGTCCTCTCCTGCTGATGTTCAGGTGTATATCAGTATGTAGTGTCTCTACTTTAAAGAGTCCTCTCCTGCTGATGTTCAGGTGTACATCAGTATGTAGTGTCTCTACTTTAAAGAGTCCTCTCCTGCTGATGTTCAGGTGTATATCAGTGTGTAGAGTCTCTACTTTAAAGAGTCCTCTCCTGCTGATGTTCAGGTGTATATCAGTATGCGGTGTCTCTACTTTAAAGAGTCCTCTCCTGCTGATGTTCAGGTGTATATCAGTATGTAGTGTCTCTACTTTAAAGAGTCCTCTCCTCTGATGTTCAGGTGTATATCAGTATGTAGTGTCTCTACTTTAAAGAGTCCTCTCCTGCTGATGTTCAGGTGTATATCAGTATATAGTGTCTCTACTTTAAAGAGTCCTCTCCTGCTGATGTTCAGGTGTATATCAGTATGTAGTGTCTCTACTTTAAAGAGTCCTCTCCTCTGATGTTCAGGTGTATATCAGTATGTAGTGTCTCTACTTTAAAGAGTCCTCTCCTGCTGATGTTCAGGTGTATATCAGTATATAGTGTCTCTACTTTAAAGAGTCCTCTCCTGCTGATGTTCAGGTGTATATCAGTATGTAGTGTCTCTACTTTAAAGAGTCCTCTCCTCTGATGTTCAGGTGTATATCAGTATGTAGTGTCTCTACTTTAAAGAGTCCTCTCCTGCTGATGATCAGGTGTATATCAGTATGTAGTGTCTCTACTTTAAAGAGTCCTCTCCTGCTGATGTTCAGGTGTATATCAGTATGTAGTGTCTCTACTTTAAAGAGTCCTCTCCTGCTGATGTTCAGGTGTATATCAGTATGTAGTGTCTCTACTTTAAAGAGTCGTCTCCTGCTGATGATCAGGTGTATATCAGTATGTAGTGTCTCTACTTTAAAGAGTCCTCTCCTGCTGATGTTCAGGTGTATATCAGTATGTAGTGTCTCTACTTTAAAGAGTCCTCTCCTGCTGATGTTCAGGTGTATATCAGTATGTAGTGTCTACTTTAAAGAGTCCTCTCCTGCTGATGTTCAGGTGTATATCAGTATGTAGTGTCTCTACTTTAAAGAGTCCTCTCCTATTGATGTTCAGGTGTATATCAGTATGTAGTGTCTCTACTTTAAAGAGTCCTCTCCTGCTGATGTTCAGGTGTATATCAGTATGTAGTGTCTCTACTTTAAAGAGTCCTCTCCTGCTGATGTTCAGGTGTATATCAGTGTGTAGTGTCTCTACTTTAAAGAGTCTTCTCCTGTTGATGTTCAGGTGTATATCAGTATGTAGTGTCTCTACTTTAAAGAGTCCTCTCCTGCTGATGTTCAGGTGTATATCAGTATATAGTGTCTCTACTTTAAAGAGTCCTCTCCTGCTGATGTTCAGGTGTATATCAGTATGTAGTGTCTCTACTTTAAAGAGTCCTCTCCTGCTGATGTTCAGGTGTATATCAGTATGTAGTGTCTCTACTTTAAAGAGTCCTCTCCTGCTGATGTTCAGGTGTATATCAGTATGTAGTGTCTCTACTTTAAAGAGTCCTCTCCTGCTGATGTTCAGGTGTATATCAGTATGTAGTGTCTCTACTTTAAAGAGTCCTCTCCTGCTGATGTTCAGGTGTATATCAGTATGTAGTGTCTCTACTTTAAAGAGTCCTCTCCTGCTGATGTTCAGGTGTATATCAGTATGTAGTGTCTCTACTTTAAAGAGTCCTCTCCTGCTGATGTTCAGGTGTATATCAGTATGTAGTGTCTCTACTTTAAAGAGTCCTCTCCTGCTGATGTTCAGGTGTAGATCAGTATGTAGTGTCTCTACTTTAAAGAGTCCTCTCCTGCTGATGTTCAGGTGTATATCAGTATGTAGTGTCTCTACTTTAAAGAGTCCTCTCCTGCTGATGATCAGGTGTATATCAGTATGTAGTGTCTCTACTTTAAAGAGTCCTCTCCTGCTGATGTTCAGGTGTATATCAGTATGTAGTGTCTCTACTTTAAAGAGTCCTCTCCTGCTGATGTTCAGGTGTATATCAGTATGTAGTGTCTCTACTTTAAAGAGTCCTCTCCTGCTGATGTTCAGGTGTATATCAGTATGTAGTGTCTCTACTTTAAAGAGTCCTCTCCTGCTGATGTTCAGGTGTATATCAGTATGTAGTGTCTCTACTTTAAAGAGTCCTCTCCTGCTGATGTTCAGGTGTATATCAGTATGTAGTGTCTCTACTTTAAAGAGTCCTCTCCTGCTGATGTTCAGGTGTATATCAGTATGTAGTGTCTCTACTTTAAAGAGTCCTCTCCTGCTGATGTTCAGGTGTAGATCAGTATGTAGTGTCTCTACTTTAAAGAGTCCTCTCCTGCTGATGTTCAGGTGTATATCAGTATGTAGTGTCTCTACTTTAAAGAGTCCTCTCCTGCTGATGATCAGGTGTATATCAGTATGTAGTGTCTCTACTTTAAAGAGTCCTCTCCTGCTGATGTTCAGGTGTATATCAGTATGTAGTGTCTCTACTTTAAAGAGTCCTCTCCTGCTGATGTTCAGGTGTATATCAGTATGTAGTGTCTCTACTTTAAAGAGTCGTCTCCTGCTGATGATCAGGTGTATATCAGTATGTAGTGTCTCTACTTTAAAGAGTCCTCTCCTGCTGATGTTCAGGTGTATATCAGTATGTAGTGTCTCTACTTTAAAGAGTCCTCTCCTGCTGATGTTCAGGTGTATATCAGTATGTAGTGTCTCTACTTTAAAGAGTCCTCTCCTGCTGATGTTCAGGTGTATATCAGTATGTAGTGTCTCTACTTTAAAGAGTCCTCTCCTGCTGATGTTCAGGTGTAGATCAGTATGTAGTGTCTCTACTTTAAAGAGTCCTCTCCTGCTGATGTTCAGGTGTATATCAGTATGTAGTGTCTCTACTTTAAAGAGTCCTCTCCTGCTGATGATCAGGTGTATATCAGTATGTAGTGTCTCTACTTTAAAGAGTCCTCTCCTGCTGATGTTCAGGTGTATATCAGTATGTAGTGTCTCTACTTTAAAGAGTCCTCTCCTGCTGATGTTCAGGTGTATATCAGTATGTAGTGTCTCTACTTTAAAGAGTCCTCTCCTGCTGATGTTCAGGTGTATATCAGTATGTAGTGTCTCTACTTTAAAGAGTCCTCTCCTGCTGATGTTCAGGTGTATGTCAGTATGTAGTGTCTCTACTTTAAAGAGTCCTGCCTCACCTCCCAGAGTCCCAGGATGTTTGGAGAACCTTCCTCTGGCTCCAGCTTCAGCCCCGTTTCCTCCTGTAACTCCCTGAGACCGGCGTCCAGCAGCTGCACACATTCATCTGACATTAACCACACTTTGAATTCAGAGAAGAAGAAGAAGAAGAAGAAGAAGAACTACGCAGAAGTCATATCAAATCATGTTCATAAAGAGATGACTCACCGTCTCATCCAGCTCGAGATGGCCTCCTATAAAAATAAAACACACTTTAAAATAAAACAAAAAAACACATAAATATAAATGTGTGTGAGAAAGTGCTAACTTTGAAGTACTGCACTATAGAGCTGAAGAGAAATTAAAAGCAGAATTTAAATGTTGAGATTTTAATCCAAAAACCCTGCTTCACTACATTTCCCATGATGCACCTGGCCCTGTAACAGATGAGTGTGAGACCTGGAGGAACCCAGATGTTGGGAAATATCCGGAGCTCCTTCGCACGCCGTGTCAACAACACCTTCTGATTGGCTGTCTGCAGGATGATGGCCACGCCCACGTCCACTCCTCGCTGCTGAACGTCCAATGGGAGCGCAGCATTCTCCGTGACGGACAGGTGCTTGATGGGGCAGAAGGCGTGCCTCTGGGAGGGAAAGGACAACAGGGTGGTTAGAGATGGAGGGGGAAAGGACAATATTAGGTCATATTAAAGATAAAGGTCAAATGAATTGTCATGATTTGTATTTAACATGTGGCGTGTCTGACCTTCAGAGTGACCCCCCGCCCTGCGTCTGCTCGGTGAAGAATGAGCCGGTTTCTCTCCAGAGAGCAGCCGACCTCCACCTCGTCCTCTCCGCCCTCACTGAAGTGACCCGTTATACTCTGCAAACACATGAAGAAGAAATCTAAAGTGTAACCCTTCGTGTAGCCTTACCTGGTGGTGGGCGATCTATAATGCACACGCTGGGTTTAGCATCTACGGTGTCTATATCTACATTTCTAAAACAGGTATCCCTAAACCCATAATGCACAAGAAAAGGTATTGGTTTGAGCAAAGTCTCTAAGCAGAGTTCAGACCTCCAGCCAGCACAATACGACACAGGACAACGAGTTAGAACAAATATGGAATAGTTGTCAGGGTTTTGTTTAAACCGGGTAACAGGAGCCTCAAACCAGAATGCAGGTTTCCCGTAGAATATAAAAGTGATGCCAGAAAACTATATTTCTGTTCTCCAGAGATATGAGTATCACACAGAGCGTCAGGCGGCAGAGACAGCTTTGTTTTTACAGAGAATAATTATGGGATGGATGTCCGGTGGGTCTCTGACACTGAAACTGAGACTTCTTTTTCCGTAGAGGAAGTAAAGAAACCTCTGGATTTGTTTGTTGTTTGAGATGCAATATATGACTCAGCAGCTTTAAGACATGAAGACACATTATTTCCAGCTTCGCTCTGATGTAGTATTTTCACAGGAAAGTGGGCGGGGCTGTAACTTTGGCCAGAAGTGACGTCAGCGCCCTCATACTATATCTTTCTATAAAAACCCTGATTTTATTGATATTTGAAACATATAGATCAGAGAATATCAAATACATAAATACAAATGAAATAAGATATATCCGATAAGAGACTAAAAACGTCTTCAAAAACAAATCAGTTCTGTTAAAGTCTCAGTTTACAACATCCCAGAACAGTTGCAGTCTGATTTATGAATCTAAACTATTACACAATAATCAAACAATTAGTATTTAGTTATAAGTTTTAATAGTATAATATCCTCAGAATTACTAAATTAAGTAAGGTTTTGTTGAGGCTGAACTGGGATTTCCTACATCAAAAAGTCACTTGAACGCCTCACAGTTATTTTAGTTGGCGGGGGCACAACAGATACTGCTAGCCTTTTGTTCAAAGACAACACATCTGATTGGTAATAAGCATTAGTGACAGATTCATCAGCCAATCAGATGCTGATGTTCAATGACAGTGTCCTGAGCTAAACCTTCGTAGCATCGACTTATTTACAAGTGACGGGTGAGCACGTTACTATTCACGTCATTTTAGAGCGAAGTGAGAGTGCACGATGACACAAGTTTAATAATAGATTACTTCATTGATCAATGTTGGGACATGTCGTCTGCATTTAACCATTATCTAGCTTACTGTCGAATTGTTGAGAGACTGTTGTGATTGTTGACCAGCTGTTGTGATTGTTGACCAGCTGTTGTGATTGTTGACCAGCTGTTGTGATTGTTGACCAGCTGTTGTGATTGTTGATCAGCTGTTGAGATTGTTGACCAGCTGTTGTGATTGTTGACCAGCTGTTGTGATTGTTGATCAGCTGTTGTGATTGTTGACCAGCTGTTGTGATTGTTGACCAGCTGTTGTGATTGTTGACCAGCTGTTGTGATTGTTGATCAGCTGTTGTGATTGTTGACCAGCTGTTGTGATTGTTGACCAGCTGTTGTGATTGTTGATCAGCTGTTGTGATTGTTGACCAGCTGTTGTGATTGTTGATCAGCTGTTGAGATTGTTGACCAGCTGTTGTGATTGTTGACCAGCTGTTGTGATTGTTGATCAGCTGTTGTGATTGTTGACCAGCTGTTGTGATTGTTGACCAGCTGTTGTGATTGTTGACCAGCTGTTGTGATTGTTGACCAGCTGTTGTGATTGTTGATCAGCTGTTGTGATTGTTGATCAGCTGTTGTGATTGTTGATCAGCTGTTGATCAGCTGTTGTGATTGTTGACCAGCTGTTGTGATTGTTGACCAGCTGTTGTGATTGTTGATCAGCTGTTGTGATTGTTGATCAGCTGTTGTGATTGTTGACCAGCTGTTGTGATTGTTGATCAGCTGTAGTGATTGTTGGTCAGCTGTAGTGATTGTTGGTCAGCTGTTGTGATTGCTGACCAGCTGTTGTGATTGTTGATCAGCTGTAGTGATTGTTGGTCAGCTGTTGTGATTGTTGATCAGCTGTTGTGATTGTTGACCAGCTGTTGTGATTGTTGACCAGCTGTTGTGATTGTTGACCAGCTGTAGTGATTGTTGATCAGCTGTCATATTGTTGGGAGACTGTTTGGCATAATGTGCGCATCATTAGATCATGGCTGCGTTGGCTGGAACAGAGACGTGTTAAATGTGTGTGTGCTTCTCAATTGTTTACTGGCGGCCCTGTCTAAAGCCCCACGGTGCGCCACTGATGAACACACACACACTACATCTTTGTCGTTTTGCACAATGTACATTGACATGTAACTGTATTGCATTGCCACATTGCATTGTCTTTGCTGCTACCTCTGCTTTTATGTGTGTGACTATGTTTATTACTGCAGTGATGACGGTCAAGCTGTATTCTGTGAGCGTTGCTGACCTGCACAAAGTGGGCTGGTTGAGCCGCTCCATCCTTACAGAAGTGAACCAGGACCCTCCTCACTCGCTCCATGCTGCACCAGCTGAGACCTGCATTCATATTACATTTCATGGCGTTTCAGATTCACTCATTTCACTGACAAATATTTGTATTTGAAATACACAAGGAGAAACACAAATACAATCATTTTTTAGGGATATGGAAATTGTGTAAAAAGTTTGGAAGTTTAATTAAAGCCATTAATAAATAACTATGACAAGAAACAAGTTAATTTAGTGTGTTTAACTATTTCAGGATTATTTCATATATTAATTTACTATCGGCTTAAATGGCATTTTGACTAAAGAGTGAATCAATAATGAACATTTTTGAAACTAATATAAATATATGTGAAACTTTTTAGATCTCAAAAGGTCCACTTAGTACAAGATCTGTGTACTTCTACTTTTACTCAAGTACCAGATCTGAGTACTTCTGCTTTTACTCAAGTACAAGATCTGAGTACTTCTACTTTTACTCAAGTACAAGATCTGAGTACTTCTACTTTTACTCAAGTACAAGATCTGAGTACTTCTCCCTTCTCTAACTGAACAGTAAACATCAACTGCTAACTTTAGCTAACCCTAAACAGAGCTAACTTTAGCTAACCCTAAACAGAGCTAACTTTAGCTAACCCTAAACAGAGCTAACTTTAGCTTACCCTAAACAGAGCTAACTTTAGCTTACCCTAAACAGAGCTAACTTTAGCTAACCCTAAACAGAGCTAACTTTAGCTAACCCTAAACAGAGCTAACTTTAGCTAACCCTAAACAGAGTTGACTTTAGCTAACCCTAAACAGAGTTGACTTTAGCTAACCCTAAACAGAGCTAACTTTAGCTAACCCTAAACCCCGTTTTAAATCTACATTCCGCAGGGTTATAACTCCACAAAGAGAGGGTATCTTTAATAAACATTTAAAGAACACATTCCAGCTAAAAAGATAGGAATAAACTCTTCAGAAACACATGAGAAAGAGAACAAACCTGCTGACAGAGGAGACACAGCTAGCTGCTTAGCTCACAGCATGCTACATCCGGGTCACACCATGGATGTATAATAAGAACACCTACAAAATAAGAGCACTCAAGCAAACCAGGTGGAGGAAGTAGTCCGCTTTCCTTAAAGAGACAGTCACCTCCTGACCTGAGAACGAGTCTGGAATTATAACAACACAAATATTCTACTGAGTGTTTTTAATTATATAATCACAGATATAAAAACTCTTTTCTACTTCAAAGATCCTCAAACCTGCATTTTTTTTAAATAATTTGATGGTGAAATAAAGTGTACAAGAAAGAGGAGAAAAACACGTCAACGTTTAAAAACTGTAGATGTTTCAGATATCAGTAAAACACACAAAGGACGCACAGCTAGAATAACACAAGTGGCGGGACAAAGAGGAACAATGAAAACAAAACAGTGAGGGGGGGGGGGGGGGGGGGGGGGAGTGGTTGTAAAGACAATTAACTGAAACAATAAGATCTTCTTATTAAATTATGAAAAATTATAAAAATGTTCACGTCTTTCTTCCATCCATAGCAGGGTTCATTCTGTTTAAATCTACACTCATATATTCACTGTGTTCAGAACATTAAAACATGAGAGACAGGATTTAATATTCAGCTCGACCCCTGATCCAATACACAGAACATCAACAGGTATATTAATACAAAACATCCCCAATAAAGACAGTGGAGGGATTCAAGATGCATCTAAACATCAGTATTAACATTTCTACTTGAAAACACACTAAATATATGACGTCTCTTCACCTAAAGATGTCTTCTTTCCAGATGTTCCTCTATTTATCTGGCTCATCCAGCCCCTTAACTTTCCCCTTTATTCATGCATTTAACTTAAGAAAATGAAACCTAGAACATTTAAGGTAAATATCCAGTTTTTGTTCACATTGCAAAATAAATCAAAGAGATTGCAATGTCAGTTTTTCCCACGATATTTAAAGATCAGAGTTAAAACTACGGTATTTCAAAGATATTGACATCCAGCGATTTTAAATGATGGGTTATACAGTGTTATTGAAATATTGGTTTTATAAATATTTAAATATCGGTATGACAGCGAGATATATTTGATCTGTATCACATGGATATGTACGTGTTGGTATATTTTAATAATAATATAATTACTCAGCGATATTTGTGGATATATTAGTAATATAAAATAATAAAAAGGGAGGGATATTGACTTTGTCTCCACACCACGCAATATAAATACCATCATTACACACTCTCTGCTATATAACATATATGATTATTATTAATAATGTTCTATAATCACGTGCAATTACGCATCGTTTTGCTCTACTAAATACTGCTGGTCACTTACAGTATTTTACATTGTGTGCCCGTCTATGTTTCCCGTAGTTAAGGACTATAATGACCGTTGCTAAGGAGGATCAAGAGAGAGAAAAAGCCGTTTTTTTTCTTCTTAGTGGAATAAATATGATCATTTTTGAGTTAATAAAATAGCACGGCACCCAGACCCCACGCAGCATTCTCATCTGTTTGTCATTACTGGTGTCATTTTCTAGTTGCTAACAAACGCCATAACATAAACACTGATGTTCTGCTATAACGGTGGTTGACTAATCAGAGTGGGCGAGCTGACCAATCACAGTGGGCTCACAGGGAGGGGGGGGGGGGGCAGGAGCTCCAACAAGGCGTGTAGGACAGAGAGAATACACATATACAGAGATGCTGTATGAGAAACCAATGTGAGTGTGGAACATTGAACAATGTAAATCTATTCTAATAGACCTCAACAATGGAATTATGATCAGTAGAAATGGCCAAAACATGGGACCTTTAAAGTGAATATCTGTGGACTTTTAAAAGCACCTCGTTGGACTCGGAGAAACTGGGATGCACGTTTCAAAATGTTCTGATATTTTAAATATGAATGTAGAAAAAGATCGATGATGAAAACAGTTGTTAGAGGCAGCATTAATCTGCTTATATTCCATATTAAAGGACTGAAGGGAGGATCTAGAACACCTGATGGACTGCTGGTGGATTTCACTCTGATGATTGGAGTTAATCAAATGTGCTGCCGTCGACTGAACGTCTGTTTGATGTCTGCTTCCTGTTTCAGCCTGCAGACTTCCTGGAGGAGCTGTGAGCTTCTGACGAAGCATGGTGGGCATGATGGTGCATCACTTCCTCCGCCTCTCTTCTCACCCTGATGCCCCCATCACTCTGGAACAGGGTCAATCTGGATCCATGATGCCCCCATCACTCTGGAACAGGGTCAATCTGGATCCCTGATGCCCCCATCACTCTGGAACAGGGTCAATCTGGATCCCTGATGCCCCCATCACTCTGGAACAGGGTCAATCTGGATCCCTGATGCCCCCATCACTCTGGAACAGGGTCAATCTGGATCCCTGATGCCCCCATCACTCTGGAACTGGGTCAATCTGGATCCCTGATGCCCCCATCACTCTGGAACAGGGTCAATCTGGATCCATGATGCCCCCATCACTCTGGAACAGGGTCAATCTGGATCCCTGATGCCCCCATCACTCTGGAACAGGGTCAATCTGGATCCCTGATGCCCCCATCACTCTGGAACAGGGTCAATCTGGATCCATGATGCCCCCATCACTCTGGAACAGGGTCAATCTGGATCCCTGATGCCCCCATCACTCTGGAACAGGGTCAATCTGGATCCATGATGCCCCCATCACTCTGGAACAGGGTCAATCTGGATCCCTGATGCCCCCATCACTCTGGAACAGGGTCAATCTGGATCCCTGATGCCCCCATCACTCTGGAACAGGGTCAATATGGATCCATGATGCCCCCATCACTCTGGAACAGGGTCAATCTGGATCCATGATGCCCCCATCACTCTGGAACAGGGTCAATCTGGATCCCTGATGCCCCCATCACTCTGGAACAGGGTCAATCTGGATCCCTGATGCCCCCATCACTCTGGAACAGGGTCAATCTGGATCCCTGATGCCCCCATCACTCTGGAACAGGGTCAATCTGGATCCATTGATGTGGTTTGAATGCGTTGGACAGTTCTTAACCTTTAGTCGTTTCAGCAGCTTAGTGGTGTTCTTTGCTTGATGCAGGCCGATCATTTGACCCTTCTGAAACAGATCCTTTCCACGACCACAGGATATGTCTTCAGACCTGGTGGAGAAATGAGAAGCTACTCACCACATCAGCTAGGGTTAAATAACTGAGACATATCACTGCAGTAAGTATCCAATGGGAGGCTCTCACTGATTGGTTAAATCCAGGTGGATATCCAGTGTTTATCCAGGCTGTGTGTGAGAGCAGCTGCTGTCTCTATACTTCACTGTCAACTCTAAATGCTTTTCCTGCTTCAGTTATTAGCTTCAGTTCTTTACCATGTTTGATGAGTCTTAGGTTTTAATGATAAATATGAAGAGCTTAGAGGATTTAAATATACATCTTGTTCTGTGTGGGCATCCTTTGTAAGACATACACAGTAATATCTACAAGAACATGGATGTTAAATCTCTGATTCAGCAGCAGTAACTGTGGTATGACTTGCTTGAAGTGAATATATCTGCTCCTTGTTGTTCGGAGTTTGATTCTTTATGGTGAAACAGATGAATACTCACTGGTCGGTTTAGTAAAGGATGGTTTGGTTCGTTGGATTAGCCGCCCTTCTTTCACACAGTGGATGAAACAGCTGTTGTTTAGTGTGACTTCTGTGAATCAGATCAACTGAAGCGGGGCTCGTTAACATTTCAATCATCCATCACCACCTCGCTAAAGTGGATCAATGACGCCCAGCTTTGCAGAACATCAGTGAACAGGATTACATCTCAGTGCCCGTTCTCTGTAAGGGTTTCCTTTTTAGTTTTTCAATAAAATAATACAATTACATGAAGTTTGTTGATTTATTATTATACTGGAAGAAGCAGTGCAGACTGTAGGGGACCTGGGACGTTTATAGGACAAAGATTTATTTGACCGATTCATGGATTCATGAGCTGAGAAAGATGTTTATGTCAACGTTGGAGGAGGGAGATGCTGCCTTCAGGGACCAACACAGAAATACGACATTCCTGCACCACTCACTGTTAGCACTAAAATATCCAATGCTGCTTCTCGAGTTAAATTTCAAGAAGATTAAATGTTAACAGAAAAGTTCACTTATATTTGTACATTTCTTTTATGCCGTCTACGTGTATGCAATACCAAGAGTAGACCAGCAGATGTCCCCATTCAGACTCAATGCAATCATTCAAGATTCAAGGGTTATGTTATCATGTGCACAGCAGCTACAGTGTAGTTATGGTAATGAACATCTTAGGTCCCGAGCTCCTCCAACAGTGCAACATATTATATAAAGGACATAAGAGAAAAAATACAGTAATAACACAAAAATAAAAACAGTGCAATGAAACAGAGCACGATAGATTTGAATAGAAATAGTGCAGGTGAAAGAACAGTCAGGTTAAAAGACATCCAAAGCATGGACTTGTTTTCTTTATACTTCGGGAAAAAAGTTTGTTCACTATTGCCACGTAGGTTTAATTCACCATCTAAGAATATTATACTTACAGTCCCCACCAGGTACAGGTCTTTGCAGTTTGATCACACAAAACAAACAGAACTCCCAATCGCACGCCGAGGTACCAAATGCCCCAAAATCCCAAATCTTACCCAGAAGTCAGTACCAATTGGTAAAATAAGAACAAGCCCTGGTAGCTGCTCTCAGGAGGAAGTCCAGGAGAAACCAGAGAAGGAAAGTAGCCTTCGCTCAGAATCTGTGTTCTTCAACTGTCACACACACTCCACGAGGTTCAGCTCGAGTCGAGCTCTTCGTAAAGATACGGGTCCAGCTCACGGAGAGCATTGATCAGAACCCTGCTGGCTGCAGCTCCTTTATTTCGCACCACGTCCACCACCTCTCGGGCTCCGTCATTTCGGGATTTGTTTCTGGCTGAATCCATTTCAGATTTACTGATCACTTTAGACTCAAAGAGTTTATCCAGAAGGTCGTTCAGCACAGTTTGAGACACTCTTTCTTTGAACTCTATCCGAACTGAGAGCAGCCACTGGTCTGCTGGGACTCTGCTCTCTGCTGGGACTCTGCTCTCTGCTGGATCTCTGCTCTCTGCTGGGACTCTGCTCTCTGCTGGGACTCTGCTCTCTGCTGAGACTCTGCTCTCTGCTGGGTCTCTGCTCTCTGCTGGGACTCTGCTCTCTGCTGGGACTCTGCTCTCTGCTGGGACTCTGCTCTCTGCTGGGACTCTGCTCTCTGCTGGGACCCTGCTCTCTGCTGGGACTCTGCTCTCTGCTGGGTCTCTGCTCTCTGCTGGGACTCTGCTCTCTGCTGGGACTCTGCTCTCTGCTGGGACTCTGCTCTCTGCTGGGACTCTGCTCTCTGCTGGGACTCTGCTCTCTGCTGGGTCTCTGCTCTCTGCTGGGACTCTGCTCTCTGCTGGGACTCTGCTCTCTGCTGGGACTCTGCTCTCTGCTGGGACTCTGCTCTCTGCTGGGTCTCTGCTCTCTGCTGGTACATTTCTCTGGGATAATTGCCGCCTTGGAACTGGAAGACAAACAGGGAAAATACATTTTTTGAATAACCAACAATCACATTAAACAGATCTCTTAAACATTAAAGTAACCCAGCATTCCCAGAGGTGGATTTCTGTTCACTTGAAGTTATAATTTGTAACATTTCCTCATTAAAATGTATAAAAACTCCTACACCGATGTTATTCATGTTTTGTTGAGTTGTGTACAAACATTATCCCAAATAGTTCAGAGAGACGTGTCATTGTAATCATGGTAACAGTACGTTCATCACAGTCTCCTGTAATGACGGCGTATCCACTTAACCATGAGAAGATGAAGACTACAACTCCCATGATGCCATGCTGTTTCACCACCATACTAGTTTTTACTATAGTTTAGGAATATTACAGGTTGTGTGTTTAATGTCGTAATGATGCGCTGCCATGGAGCCTTAATAGAGAATGCTATGAGATGGATCTTTAGAGTTATCCAGTCTATCACTGGGTCTGAGCTCAGGTGGAGTCTTTACCTTCCAGTGGCACGCGATATTTCCAGACTACGTTTCCATCTTGGTCCTTGACCTTCAAAAACACTCTCTCTGTGCTCGTCGTCAGGGACACTTGAAATGTCGGATGGTAATTTGGTCCAAAACTTGATTCAAATCTTTTACTCTGAAAACCAGAAGCAGAAGTTAAATGTTTATCTGTTTCTTTCCTGATTGTGGATCCACATGCAGATACATGTGTGTTAATGATCATTGTGTTTCTCTAGAGGAGTATCAGTGACTCACCTCAGGCTGAATGAAGAAGCCCTCAGGTTCACAGTGCACACTGTAACTGTGATGAATGTCCAGCTTACAGTCAGAGGCGATTGGGATGTTCACAGCACAGCTGTGTTGATCAGCAACCTTCAGTAACAGAGTAACTTTAGTTATGCTCAGATAGTCAACTTTATTTAAAGATCACATTAAAGAACAACAAACGTTGACAGACCTGCTCCACAAAGTGATGAGATATACAATCAATCACAACATAATTATAAGTATATATTGCCTTTGTAAAGGAATATTCTAAATAGATTATTTTAATTCTTTGAGATGAGCTATTGAAGAAGCTATTCCAATAATAACCAAAACACAAACCGTCTGTGTCAGTTACACAACACAAAAGGCGGCTGCCCAAGCTGTAAAATGTGGCTGGTAGGGATGAGATCACGTTGTCTTGGCAGTGATTCATCTCAGCAGGTCTTTCAGTTCTGTGTGATGTGTTTACCATTCATGCCATCAGTTTCCGCAGACAGAAAGACATGCTGAGAGAGAATCATACAAAACCACAAAGAGAGATCTGAAGATTTACAGTTCAGATAGATCTTACTCTTCTCCCAGCACAAGAAGGTTTGAGAAGAGGAGCAGTTGTTTAGTCTGATGGTGAGCACATTACCTTCTCCACAAGGACGTTTTTCTGCAGCAGATGTACATCCAGTGTTTGCTCCTCTCTGCCCGGGGGTCGTAGGAACACCAGAATTTGGCCTTTTATCCGCTTCTTTAAAAGCCTTTTCAATCGATCGATGGTAAGGCCAAATTTAGAGAGGTGAGGCACCTTCACCACCACGTGAGTGCGTGTGACCTCCAGCGGCTCCAAGATGCTCAGGCCTTCCTCAGTGATGTGGACGACAGACAACAGGCCGTCCAGGAGCAGCGCTGTGGAGCAAAGAGCTGGTCATCTGTTGCTTTGCTGCTGAAACAGCTTCATCATATTCAATGTCTCACCACTTTAGTTCAGAGCTAATGTTCATCTAATGTCATTCACTTTGGAGCCTCACTAGGATGCTCCAGTTTATATCCTCCACCTTTTATTCTAATGTTTCATTATTGTTCCGCCCCCTGTGATCTTTCTGGATGTGAGCATTTGCTGTTATGCATACACTTTATTCATTATTTTCTAATCTTCAAGACTGCTGAGATGTTTGTAATCTGCTGTCAGAACAGCTTGACTGAGTCCGCTCTCATGTCTGAGTGACTCTCTAGATGTGTGAAGAGTTCTCTAAAGCTTTCAGGGCGTAGAAAGTCTAACTTATAAATGTTGTTGTCTGTTGTTTTGTTTTGTTCATGGTTCAGCCAGACTGACAATGTAAAGAGCAGAAAGAGCAACAGATGGATAACTAAGTAAGAATGAATCAAACTGCTCGCTTAGCATCACAACAGTAACAGAGAGTTAGCGTTGAGTTAGCACTGTTAGCAGCTGAGCATGCTGTGGACTGACCAATCACAGTTTACATCTCTTTAATATTACAGTGAGGAGACTGCAGAGGGCCCAAAGACAATCCAACTCAGTATTTAGAGCTGCATTGCATCGTCTGCTTCAATAATGATCAATGATGTCATGAAACACATCCACTAAATGGATGTTTTCATAATCTAATTTTCTTCTTTTGGGGACAAAACTATTTGAATGTAAAGAATACATTTGGTGTCTGCATTATACTGTTGCTATCTTTGGTAAACTAGTTTAATAAAGCTGCTTCATAACCTTTGAACAGTAGTGAATAGTATAAGGTGCTAAACATTATATAAGTGTGTATTTGTTAACACTAGATGTCTTTACCTTCCTCTGTCTCACTGTGTGGCAGGTGGAGCTGGACGACGGCAGCTTCAACAGAACTCTTCACGTCGAACAGCGGCCCTGCTGCCTGCTTGCCAGCTGATTGGAGGAGGCTCTCCTCCCAAGGGACCGTCCTGTACAGAAGCTCCGCCTCCTGAGCCATGACGAACACCAGGCCAGTCGAAGCACACTGGAACTCACCTGGACCAGGACACCTGAACCTGTAGACACACAGGGGACAAGTTACTACAACAAGCCTTCACTGGCCTGTGTTCTGACTGACAGGTGTTCATCCAGCTGGATCTGACCTGGAGGAGGGTTTGTTGAAAGATCTGAAACACCTGATGGTTACAGGAACATCACTGAAGATGTGTCCACATGCATCAGGATGTGTGTGTCCACTTTCATTAAATTAACTAAATGTCTAGTCCAGCGAGGATCTGGTACAAGAAAACAATCCTTCCTACACACAGAGGCATTATTTTATTTATGTCTGTTGGAAAGAGATTGGATGCAATACCTCAAGGTGAAAGACATGAAATTAAAGCTCCCATGTCATGCTTTTCTGGTTATTACCCGTCCCCTTGTGTTATGTAGCTTTTTATGAATGTAAACGGTCTGCAAAGTCGCAAACCCTCAAAGTACACCCTGTAGCGAGTAAAAATCTAACACAGAAAAGACGTGTCTATGCTGCCCCAGAACGCCTCGTTGGAGATTTGTCTTTTTCCATTTTCTTCTTCCTGGTCGTAGTGACGTAACAGCTCCAGATTTCCGCACACACACACACACTCACTCAGCCTTATCTTTTCTCAGCCTGGCTGTGAGTGAGTGTGTGTGTGTGTGCTCAGGCTGAATTTCGCGGTGTCTCGCTGTCTCGCAGACCCCACGCAGAAACCAGGAAACGACACCAGTAATCCAGCTCACACTGTCAGCTCCTCGAGCCTCAAAGGGCGGAGCAGCGAGCCCCGCAATGTCCCGCTTACACGACACCCAGACCCCACGCAGCATTCTCATCTGTTTGTCATTACTGGTGTCATTTTCTGGTTGCTAACAAACGCCATTGTAACAGATAATCACTGATGTTCCGCTGTAACGGTGGTGGACTCATCAGAACAGAGTGGGCGAGCTGACCAATCAGAGCACAGTGGGCTCATAGGGAGGGGGGGGGGGGGGGCAGGAGCTCCAACAAGGCGTGTAGGACAGAGAGTGAATACACATACTATACAGAGATGCTGTATGAGAAACCAATGTGAGTTTGGAACATTGAACAATGTAAATCTATTCTAGTAGACCTCAACAATGGAATTATGATCAGCAGAAATGGCCAACACATGGGACCTTTAAAGACAATTAAATGAATATATATTTTTAATGTGTTTAAAATAATCTTCAGTCATGTTATAGAATTACCTGTATGGAGACTCAGTTGTGTGTTCAGGTGAGAAGGATTCAGGAGCCTGGAACAAACAAAGTTATTTATTTTAATAGAAATCAAGTTAAGTTTTGCTAATTAGTCTGGATCATCTGAGTCCATTGTCAATTTCAAACAGGATATTAACAGGTTAACATGCGACGTAGTGATGAACGACCCTGTAGCCAACAACAGTACCAGCCAATCCCCGCACATTGGGGCGGGATATTGTTAAGGTTTCTAGATCAAGTGCGAGAGTTAGCACGTTTAACTTGACAGCCCTAATAATTATATTTCAGTCAGTGGTGAAATAAATACACTTCTCTCTGTTCAACTGCTCCTCTCTCACCTTTCTGTCTGTCTTCACTTCCTGGTCCACATCGGAGTCACCTGATGGAGAGAAGAGGTGACACAGAAAAATAATAATTAAACTTTAACAAAGAGAAACATTAGCAGCCAAAATGATTGAATAGAGCTGAAACAAAATGGAATTCAAATATATTGTTGATCTACTATAATTATCTTTTAAGATCAGATTGAATGTACAATATCTTGATGAATGGAGGATATGGTTTCAGTACTCACAGGTCTTCTGGATCTTGGCTCTGATCGTCTCATCATCTCTAATCCTGTAGGGATGAACACAAACAGTTTTAGATCCAGTTTAAAATAAGTGTTTGTTCTTTGAGTCAGCTTCAGAGTCCTGATCTCATGCTTTACATCCCATCATATCTTCTCTGCAAACACTACGACTGACTGCCACAGCTCTCAGCTGCATTACAGGAAGTAACTGCTCATTAGAAACTAAAAACATGACAAGAAACAAAACAGAGAATCTTTTCCACTCTTCTGTAAAATCCAATATGTCTGTTAGAAAGTAGCTAACTAACTAAATGTGGCTTTGCATTTTCAGCTTACAATATATAGTTGATGGAAGAATGAGAGAGCCTGCAGTCAGTGGTAACATCACTAATCTATTGTGATTCCCCAGTGAGAGAAACACCTCCCTGTGTTTAATACAATACTGCTGAACCAGCAGAGACCCCTTACTGACCTGAGAGTCTCCAGTCTGCAGTCTGGACTCTCCAGAAGATCTCTCAGCAGCTTCTCTCCTGAATCCTGCAGATCGTTCTTTCTCAGGTCCAGATCTCTCAGATGGATGTTGGACTTCAGAGCTGAGGCCAGAGAAGAACAGCTGATCTCTGACAACCTGCAGCGCCTCAGTCTGAATAAAGAAAACATGATGTAACTTTAGAAAACAATGTTCCTGTTTGAAATAACTCCAGGTTTAATAATCTGTTCAGAGCTGAAGAAGTTTAGAAAGTGGAAGCTCTAAACAGGTTAAAAACTGTAAGATACAGAAAGAGGAAAAGAGCTCTCATTAATATTAAAGACAACGTGTTTCTACTTCAATAAAAAGTGGAGACTTCACATCTGAAGCTCTGCTCCATCTACACTAACTCATGATGTGCAGCCAGACAAATACAAACCACAGAAACTGATTCAACTCAAGATCACAACGTTTACAAAGATCACAAATACGATGAATTTGAAATGTGAAGAAAAACATCCAGAATATTTATTTTAGGAATAGTGGAGTCATCAAATCACAGCATCTTCAGTGTAAACTATTCAGTCAGTATGAGCATCATGTAGCTTCAGGAACATGTTGGAAACAGCAACAACTGAAAATACTTGTTAGAGTTTGATAGTTTTAATAGAAATATTTAATTATTGTATTTCATATCATTTGTTAAAATCTTGATGGAGAATGCAAGATGAATTTCAGCTGTTCAAAAGGTTCAGAGTGAATTCTGCAGGGAACGTTTTTTGTTGTTATATTTAAATGTAAATATCAACATTACATTATGCAACTCTAGCATTAAGATGCTCAGTGAGGATCAGAGTGATATCAGCCTGATGTCTGCAGCTCAGAGTCAACACAACTCTCACATATTCATCTCAGCACAGAAGTTACAGATGGAGAACTGACCTGAGGGTCTCCAGTCTGCAGTCTGGACTCTCCAGAAGATCTCTCAGCAGCTCCACTCCTGAATCCTGCAGAGCGTTGTCACTCAGGTCCAGATCTCTCAGATGGAGGTTAGACTTCAGAGCTGAGATCAGAGCAGCACAGCTGATCTCTGACAACCTGCAGCCAATCAGTCTGAATAAAGAAAACATGATGAGGATAAAAATCTGTTTATAATCCAGTCAGATGTTCAGGTTTAATATGTGTAGCTCAACATTACTGCGTCCTAATCAATGAGCTTTTCCTTGAATTAAAGTGACTGTCATTTTGTTATTGTGGATCATCATAATATCAGCCTTCTGTGTTAAAACACATTGAAATAAATGAGAAGCAAGAAAAACATTTATACTTCAGAAAGTAAACTTTATATAAAACTAATATTAATTCAGATGACCTTCTTTATTCAGATGTGACCATTTGCTAAAGACAACATACATTTACTTTAACAACTAACAGTGGATATCTAACATATATATTTTAAGAAACAGTCAACTTTTATGACTGCAGACTAAATGTAGTACTAGAACAATAAGAATATGAACAAAATGACTGGCAGTGGGGTGTGGTTAGAGCGCCGGCTGCTGGAGGGATGGGGGTGGCTCCAGACAGCTGGACAAGGATCAGGTAACCAGGTGAACAGTAAAGCATGTCAGTAACCTGGTTCTTGTCTCTTGCAGTGGTCTGGGTCCTGGGGGCAGAATGACTTGCCCCAAGAAAGCCTGTCACTGGCAGCAGTGTTCTGTCTGTTTACTAAAGTATTGACGTATTGTTTGCAAGCTGTGGCCAGTCAATAAAGCTTTCTTTTAAGCAAAGCTTCCTTTCCTTCTTCCTTTTTAACTGGGTGAGCAGGAAAACCCTCACAACGACATATACAAATACATGGTTGTTCAAGCATTAGGTTCAATTGTTAATGAAACACATGAGATCTCCAGCAGTAACAGAGAGTCAGTGAACTGACCTGAGAGTCTCCAGTCTGCAGTCTGGACTCTCCAGAAGATCTCTCAGCAGCTTCACTCCTGAATCCTTCAGATCGTTGTAACTCAGGTCCAGATCTCTCAGGTGGAGGTTGGACTTCAGAGCTGAGATCAGAGCAGAACAGCTGATCTCTGACAAACTGCAGCCATTCAGTCTGAATAAAGAAAACATGATGTAACTTTAGAAAACAATGTTCCTGTTTGAAAATAATTCAAGATTTAATAATCTGTTCAGAGCTGAAGAAGTTTAACCTGTTAAGCCCCGAGCCTGTTTTTCAGGTTTCAGGCTCGAAAATGACATGCCCAAAACAAATGACTACAACTTAACTTCTAAAAGGGTTATATGAATAATTTCTTTTATCAAAGCAAGGTTACATCTGTGAGTTGGATGTAGAAGTGTCAGAATCAATATAGATTTTTCTCAGTCAGAATAAATTCAGATGGAACATGGTAAAAAAAAAGGTAAATTCTTACCTCCGCCTAAAAGAAAACATTACATTACATTACATTGCATTTAGCTGACGCTTTTATCCAAAGCGACTTACAATAAGTGCATTCGACCAACAAGATACAAACTTGTAGAAAACAGAATCATATAAGTACATCAGGTTTCATAGAGCCAAAACATTTCAAGTGTTACTCAACTGGCTTTAGATAAGCCAGTCCTTTGTTAGTATATAAGTGCTTTGTTAGTAATTCTTTGTTAGTGCTTATATCGCTCGAAGTGGAGTAGAGAGAGATGAGTTTTCAGTCTGCGCCGGAAGATGTGCACGCTATCTGCTGTCCTGATTTCAAGGTGGAGCTCATTCCACCATTTTGGAGCCAGGATAGCAAACCGACGTGTTTTTGCTGATGGGAACTTGGGTCCCCCTCGCAGTGCGGGTGCAGCGAGCCGTTTGGCTGATGCAGAGCGGAGTGCACGTGCTGGGGTGTACAGTTTATCCATGTCCTGGATGTAGGAAGATCCATTCACAGCATGGTACGCAATTACCATTGTCTTGAAGTGGATTCTAGCAGTTACTGGAAGCCAGTGAAGTGAGCGGAGGAGCGGTGTGGTGTGGGAGAATCTAGGAAGGTTGAAGACCAGACGAGCCGCTGCATTCTGGATGAGCTGCAGAGGTCGGATGGCACATGCAGGTATAACCATGACTTATAGTGAAAACCACCCTTGAATGATGGGATGGTAGACTAAAAGCTTTAGGAATCCAAAGTACAACATATAATAAGTACCTTGTATTGAGATTGATGCAAAACAAGTGACATTTGACCTTTTTAGCCAGGTTTAGAAAAAAAAACCCACCTCTGGGGTGATTTGGGTGTAAATGGGCGTTTTTACAGTTTCTCTGGAACCCATTGGTCGATTTTGGTGATTGTCATCTCTTCCTGACCGTTAGAGCCAATAGAATCGAAGGGGGGTTTTCACATAGACACCAACATTAACACAAAAAGGTGGGGGCTTTGCGCATGCAGGCTTGCATCAGAGTGAAGCCATCTCTCGCTCTGACATCTGGAAACGGAAAAGTAGTTTTATTGCTTATGGATTATCAGAAATCATTTCAAAGGGACACAGACACATTGGATTAACCTATGGATTAACTGCAGCACCGTCTTTTATCGTTTTAATGCCATTGAAGACCAGTTTTGACCAGACAAAGACCAAGGTAAGCCATGTTAGCGTTTGTAGCTACCTAGCGCCAAATGTTTTGATGTACGTTTTCGTTTATAGAGTCGCGAGTTTGTATCACTGAGTGTTGAGGTGGGCACCCATCGATTCTGTGTCTCCAGGAGATGCTAATTGATGGGTTGGATGTGCATCTAGGATAAGTAATAAGGGAGTTATGAGTGAGTTTCGGTGCAGTGATAGGTACCGGGGGGGCGTGTGTAAGAGGTTAATAAGTAGAAATTCTTAACAGGTTAAAAACTACAAGATACGGAGGACTTCCGGTCGACGAAGGGGATGGCTGCAGAAAACTTCTCTCCGATAGCTAGTTTAAAGATAACACCCCATAATTAAAAAAAACACGCGTTATAGTAAAGTTCGATGAGTGGGGGGGGTTGTAACTAGAGGTAGGGAAAGACGAGACAAAGAGAACGGACATCATTAAAAAAAAATGGAGCGGGACGACGAACAGGTGCAACTTGCTGAAGCTAACTTGCTAACGAATTAAAGAATTACGCGACCTCAAAACCGAAATGAAAAAGGACTTAACCACGCTCAAGGTTTAAGTCATGGAGGACGTTACATCAGAAATCAACGAGCTAAAGCGAGAAATGTTAATGGTTAAAGAGATGGTCCTGAAAAAAGCTTGGCAAAAGAAAATCGTTGTGGAGGGGCGGCTGCTGATATTTGCCCATAACTATGCAACAGAAGTGGTTCAGAAACGCAAAGCTTACAGCGAAATAAAGAAGCTTCTGAAGGAGAGAGGGATCCGCTTTCAGACGCCTCTCACTAAAATGAGAACCCACTGGGACGACGGACCGAAGCTCTACGGATCCGCACAAGAAGCAGCATGTGACATGAGGAAACGGGGATTCTCCGTGGAGCCATCCGGGCCCGCCGCCCCTGATCACGAAGCATCGATGGTTGCATCAGGGGCTGGCAGCCCCTGATGCAACCGCTGGAGAGAGAAGGCAACGCGTTGGAGAGAGAAGAGACGGAACAACTGCAAATTTCAACTGAGGTATTATTTCAACAGATTCTCAGACATTTTTATTTGAATAGCACTCACAAAGAGTCTGCCTAAAAGATTTAGTCCGGAGTTAGACCGGACAATAGACTAAAGAAAACAAATTGGAGGCTTAACACTAGTTTACTTAACAATAAAACAATCCTACAAGAAGAAAAAACTGAAATTAAGACCTACCTAGAACTGAACGATAATGGTGAGTAAACCCAGATATATTGTGGGATACTTTGAAGGCGGTCATTCGAGGTAAACTGATATGTCTTAGCTCAGTTGTCAAAAAAACATCCAAATCCTCAACTAATACCAAAGAATAGTGAAGTTAAAAAACAGATTCTGGAAATGTATAGAGAAGAACAAGAGAGAAAATATAAATTTCTAAAACAATCATACCACAAAGTAGGGCCTAAATCTACAAAATGATTAGCTAATGGCGCAGTTCCACTGCAGCGCGGAGCTCGCTTTAAGCGTGCCGTGTCGTGCCGTCCCCTTTTTTGGTTGTGCTTCCACTAGGCCTCGTTCCGGCGCGGCACGGCACGGGGCCACTTTTTCACCTCTTTTCTGGCCCTAGAAAATTGTGGTTCTATCGAGGCCACACTAACTGGAAGTGGTTCGACCTCATGGACGATATTTATGGCCATAGACCGTCCAGCGTTGGGAGGGATGGAGGCCTGGACTCTGCAACCGCGTTGCTGGAGTCTCTGCATGGTAAGTCTTTGCTAACGCTCTGTTATTTGCTTGAAAACGTTGTGTCCCTATCTATTATAAAGCTCACTTCTAACAAACAAGTCTATTTTATCCTTACATTTAAGTTCTACAACCCATGCTTGTATGGATCCCCGAAGAGCTACATAGCTAGGGCAGATAGCATTAGCTAGAGCTATTGTTTGCTACCACCACATGTGCCATTGTTTACGTTCAGTTTTTCTTTCTACAGTTGTTGTTGTTGCTATTTAGTATTGTGCTGCAGTAGTTTGTGGAATTAACAAGTCATGTTGCTGTTCTAGATGATGCCATTGTCTCGAGTGAGGAGGAACAGTCCCGAATAATGGGTGATCCGTCCTCGTCGTCGTCAAATCCAGAAGGGACCCCATCTCGACCCCAGACACCAGGCCCAACCGAACACCCGACAACTCAACCACCAACGCCGAGTGCCATCGCGACACCGCAGCGTGTTCTAGGTAAGAAATAGGCATGGCAAAACGACTGCAATTGTGATTTTTTTTAAACTTTAGATCATCCATCCATCGTCAGTAAGTAAAATAAGCTATACCAGTGTGTGGAAGTGCTCTGTTACAAGTAACTAGCTAGTAAGCAGCTAGTACAATTTTGTGTGACATCCTATTATATACATATATTTATATTCATTATCAACAGGCTGGACATAATGTAATTCACTTTCACAATCATTGTGTGACCTGTACCTGTCCTGTGTTTTTCATTGTTATTGCTAATTCTTATTGCTATAATTATCTTATCATCATACAGGCAAGAGGAAACGAGGAGGAGACGAGCACCTGGCACAGGAGGAACGGCACCATGTAAGGCACCTGGCCCAGGTGGATCGGCACTGGCAGCTGACCATGGAGGCTACTGCCCGGGCAAAGCAGGAGGAAATGGCCTTCAGAAGGGAGGAGAACGCTCAAACGCAGGCATTTAACATAGCCTTCCTGCGCACTCTTGGCCAGGTTGTGGACAGCAGACGTGGCCCGTCTCTTCATGAAGATGACCAACCTCAATTGCCACAGTAGTGTCTTGTACATGTTTTTACTTTTTTTTTTTAATGCCATGCCTTTTTATGCTGCAGCAACATTTTTAAATTTTGTACAATATCTTGCCTTTTTATGCTGCAACACATTTTTTTATTTTGTACAATGCCATGGCTTTTTTATAATTCAATAAAGTACTTCTCATCTTATCTCTTGTTGATAAATGCATCGTCTGATTTCCTGCCATAATCTGATTAACCAACTGATTTTCGGGACCATGTAAACAAAGTCACTGGGTTGCCACTCGCACACAATTTTGTCATCCAATCATAAACAGAAATGAAATGTACACGTTTCATTAAAGGGCTTTAAATCAGCAGAACAAAAACACTGAGAATTGTGTCTTAGTCCAACGTTTAAAAAAAAATGCACATATGCACATAATTTTGAGGCTGAAGTTATAGGCCTATATTTGTTCTAAATAATAATAAAAATAGGCTACTAATAACATTTGGGGATCTAACATTGTACATGAATTTATAAAGCAATAAGAAACACCAGTTAGGAAAAAGGGCATAAGATAAAAAGGGAATTCGAAGAATAGATTTAAAGCAAGAAATAGTTTGCTAGCTTCAGGTCCTCCTCTAAAACATTCTTTGGTAACTGACACATTAAAGTCGAAGACTACCTTTTATAAATAAACTGGAAGGGGGTATTTCGGAAAAAAAACGGAAAGAGGATGATAAGAGATAATTTGTATTT